TAAACACCGTCGAGAGCCGTCAACAGCTTGTATGGAGTTTGGAAATAAAGCGGATCATTCAACCATTTGTTTTTTGAAATAATTAAAATGTTTCTTTATCAATAAAAAGTACTCTTTAAGATTTTATTTACCGTTAATAGAGAGGTTGCGGCCGAAGTTTTCATCTGTAAAACGTAAACTTCGAACATCTAGCGCCGCCATCTTACAAGCCTAGAAGTTTGACAATGACGTTTGGAACGTCGAGCATGATTCCAAACGCCATTGTCAAACTTCTAGGCTTACAGGATGGTCCGACATACGCGTTTTAGCAATGAAAACGTCGGCCGCAACTTCGCTATTGACTATCGGGACATTCCAATTTTCAACGCTGACTCAACGCTGATCTCAACATTCGTTCCTTTTTTCAACGTTGAGGTAGCGCTGTTGTCAGCGCTGACTCAACACACTCAGCACTCAACAGATATGTTGACTGCTACTTTCCAATGAATTGTGGGTAATTGGTAAGACATTTGAATGGAATCCATCTTTCTGAGAATGGAATTATAGGAACTAAGCACTTCGTACTGGAGTTGGAACGTCGTTGATGACGTCAAATTGTTGACTTCAACACTCAACACTCGCGTTGAAAATTGGAATGTCCCGTATGTGACAGTGAAAGCGTGATCACGATTAACCCGACATAAAAAATCACTATTAAATAACTAGGATCACATTCGTTGTTTTCAACAAATATGATCCTAGTTATTTAGTAAGTGTATTATTTAGAATTAAATGTAGCATTTAGGAGAGTGCAGAAAACGTTTCCTGAGATCGTAAAGATGGCCGCGGATAGGCCGGAAACGTTCGATGCAATAAATATTACGCTGGTTAATTAAAGTTACAATGTTATATTCGGAATCACAAAGAGCACCATTTTGTGAATTAAAAAAATAAATAAACAATTTTATATATTATCCTATATAAAAATACAACTAAACTTAAGCAAATTAAATTTTAATTTGGGGAAAAATGTAATAATATTTGCAACGATAGATCTTTTAATCTAATAAGTTTTCTTTGTAAAATATTAAGCAATTAATTTATAAGAATAAAAAAAAAGACGTTTTCTAGGAAATGCAAAAAGTCACGTGCTCCCTTACCCATCGTCCTCGAGATTAAATGCAACTCTCGAAGAAGGATTACGAGTGGTAGAAAGAGAAGAATGACATTTTAAAGTTAATATATCCGTCTAACGCCGGTAATTATATATTTTAAATTATAAAACTATATTAAAAATTAGTCGAGTGTTGTCATAACGATAAAATCCGTAAAAGATAACACAGGAAGTTAGGCCTAACGGATCTCAGAGATTTTCAGGTTTGTGTTTTCCTCTCTTATTTCAATTAAAATGATCAAATTCGTCGTGAAAATTCCTATTTTTCTACTTTTATTTTGATTATTTGATACTTTTATATCGTCTGGGAAGTAGTAAAATAATTATTTAATTTATTATTTAATATTTTAAACGTTTTAATGGGAATTAAAGCGATTTAAGGTTTCGAGTGTTTTTGATAAGAATGTAAAGATAACATGTAATAAATTTCAGTCAGATAATACATTTATGTTTAATATTACAATTTATATACACGTTAATTACAAAATAAAACTAATGTTATTTCCTGTAAGATGAAGCACTGTCATTCAGATATGACGTTTGGAAACAACAATGAGTAATTCTATGGACTTGTGTTTAATAAATTGTATTGTTTTTTGTTTAGGTTAAATGTTTGTTTATAAATAGTAAAATGAAGTGAATGTATTCGGTTATCAATGTGGAGTTTATAATAAAATTTATTTTGGAATTATTGATGTGAAGCCGATATTATAATTATTTCATATTCTGGTAAGATGTGAACTCGGAACCAGTAGTTTCCCACCCGGCCGGAACTGTAGACCCCCGTCCGAGCAAGAACCGGAAGAACTGTACCCGTATCCGCCACCCTTTGCCGTATGTTTGCCTCGAAAATCGGTTTTTACCGTGTGCCGGTACTATTGATATTATCTGTTTTCGTGTTCTGTGTTGGTCGGAGCGAGTGATGGCTGGCCTTGACTGGTGTTGTGTGATAGTTGTGGGAGTTGGTGTGAGTACTTGCACCCCTTATAACTGTATGACGTCCAGTATCCCGTGAATGGTTGAGTGGGCTATTCGAAGTTGGCATAGTTGCCTGGGCTAAATAGTTAAATGTGCTTATCTTAGCTGAGCAATGTGACTCCTGATTGCATTTGACTTGGCAGTAGGATGTATCCTACCGAGGGTCGCGTGTAGAGAGGTACTGTTCCTTTGACTTTTTTGCTCTGGTGGGTATGTTCTATGGCTGTCGTAAGGTCCCAACTGTCTCGTTTAGTGGTGTAATTGTACCAAAATGCTAATATTTTTAAATTGATTTTATATCTGATTTAACAAACTGAATAATTTTTTTAAGTCTTAATCTTTCTCAGTACTAATAAATGTATATAAATTCAGCATCATAAATAAAATAAACTAAATAATTTAATTAAAAATACTTTTTCTTGTTATTGATGCTTCTTCAGTTAAAACAAATTTAAACAGAACAAATTAAATCAAACCAAATGTATTATAACTAAAGGATTACAGATAATTGTTTATAAGAATTTTTAGATGTGATGTGAATGAAAATTTTTATTTAAGTATTTATTTTGTGTGTTTATTGAGTTATTTAGTTATTAATGATAAGCTTTCAAGTGCATTCCTTAAATTCAAGTAAGTTCTAAAAACATTTAGGTGTTTGTTCTTTGTAGAATGTTATTTTTTCCAAAGATCATTGAAGATAATCAAAAACATTAAAATAAAGAAATATTATTTCATTAAATGGATTTTAGAGTAGGTATTTGTATAATTGCAGTTCGTATAAGAGTAATTACTTAATGAAAATTAGAAAGCTAATAGATGATGTGTATAATTAATTTAATATATGCGAAGAAATTAAATATAAGATCTTCCCTGAAATAATAACTAATGTCTATTTCTGCATATATCAATCTCACATATATTAATTACTATATATTTATTCATCAGATAGACCTAGATGCCAAACTGGTTCATTTACCACATTTCATGTCTGACTTAAGCAGTTCTTTAAATGAAAGTAAGTAATTTCAATAAGTGGAAAGTAGCTTTGACTCTATACAAGTGAGGAAGTTTGAATTCACTATTCAAACTTATTTGTATGATTTTAATAAATGCATATATCTTGATAACTTTTATTAGTTTAATATTTTTACAGTAAGTAGTAGTATTGTATCTATGCTGTTTTGTAATTTTGGTTATTAATTTGATATTTGTGATATTTTATCCTACATTTGACATTTGTGGATTTGTATTAACCATTTTGAATTTTTGCAATTTGAATATTATGTTGGAAGGTTTTTCCAATTTTTAAATATGTCTGATCCTGATGGTCTGTATAACAATAGGCTGAAAATGTTAGATTTAGAGTAGTTTGTCATTTGTTTCATGTTGAGTTTTTAAGATAAGTGATAATAGGGTAGGCCTATCAATTACATTAGGCAAGTTCCTAAGCTGACTACTGAACATCTAGGGCTTCTTTCTGTATTAAGGCTATGTCAATGTTCTCTGTTACTATACATTATAGCAACTCAATACCACAAAAGTCACCTTGTAGTGTTGGAGCTTTATTTGGATAAAATTTAATTATAATGACAACTTACCCTTAAGATCTCCATTTGTAGAGCTCATCCTAAAGATAAGTCATCATTATTTTTTTTTCTATCATAGCTCTCTGTGAGCTAGAAACAGCAGGACTGCTGCCAAACAAGAAGCTGCCAACTGTAAGCCAGCAGGAAGCCTACAACTAGGCCTTGAAACTGCTGATGGAGAATCAGGTACACCTACCAAGAATCAAATTAAATTTTATTAAAGACACTATGGCTAAATTGACCTTTTCCAAGTGTCAACAAAAACAAGCATTGAATCTTAGAAGAAATTATAGTGAGTCCCAGAAAAGTTAATTTCCAGAACCAAGCATTGATCAAAGTGGTCAAATGCTCTAAGCAACATCCAGGACCAAGTTGCAAACCTGGGTTTGAGTCTCCATATCTTTTAAGAATTTAAGGAGTATTCTTGTGTTCCTTGTCTGGGATATCTTCAACAAAATGATCAGACTTCCTGTCTGTGATTAAATGCATCTAATGCACTCTCAAAGCCAAATAAGACTTTTTGAAGAGAAGCAAATCAGTTTAAACAACTCCCAGAAAAAGTTATAGGGAACAAACCTTGGAGAATTGTTTACATTCAAATTTTTTAATCTCTTCTAGGAGAAAATTCTGAATCTGATCTGACAAATCAGGAACATTGCAGATATTAGAGGGAGCTGTCAAGAATAATGGTTACCTGTAGTTTTGCATCAAGAAAGTCTTAGATTCTTTGGGTACTTGTAGACACTTGAGTTTAGCATTTGATGGAGACAACATACTCAAGACTTGAAGTAGGACACTTAAATCTGCTCCCAATCACAAGCTGTACTCACAATAATGATGGAGCAGAAGAGATGTGAGCAACATGATGTTGGTAAACAAATAGTCCAACTCCAGCAAATTTGAAATGTGTGACTCTGGTTTTGATCTTTCTCTTTTTTATGATTCCTTTTATAAGAAAGATTCCACTGGATATCTGAATATCTTTTATCTAAAATTTCTCTCTAAAAACTTGTTCTAAAGTTTATGGTGAGAATCAAAAAATGGATGTAACGAATTTATCTTGGAAAATCTTTTGTGTACATAAAGGAACATACATCTTAATCAGCTAAAAGAATTTTACTTTTATTTGTTTTATGCAAGGACCCGCTTCGCTGGCTTTTTATTTGTTCGTACATTTGTATGTAATATAGTTTTTTTTATATATATAAAAGACTGTTTTTCTAAGTAATCTAGAATCTAGCTGCAAGGACCTGCTTCGCTGGGTTTTTAAAAAGTAACGATAGTGGCTATAATTACATTATAGCCAATCTTACCCGTTTTCACAGAATGCAAGAATTAGGTCCCCCGTTTCCAAACTAATTAGAGACCTGGTCCCGATTCTATTTCTGAACGTCTCTGTTCACGTCAAGTCAAACGAACTATTTTCAACGTTTCTGGAACGTTTACAATCGTTCTATAATCGAACCAATGTTCGAATTTAATTCAAACAAATTCGAACAAAACATTCAAAATAGAAAGCCACTTTCAACCACTTTCAGCCTCATATCTCCCGCACCCTTATAGCTATCGAGACGCAACCACCCCTATGCACGAATGGAGACTTGGGGCTACCACCACATACAAACACCATTCACGTGCGATGTGTAGTTTTGGCGGAAAAGTGAAATATAGGGACATACACGTCCATTTATATAATATATATATAGATTATAAAGAATTGATTTAAATTTATTCATTTCAATGAAAAAAATTAAATACAATAAAATGCAAAAAAAAAATAAATAAATAAGACAATTTGATGAATGACGTAATAAATTGGCCTATAAAGTAGTTTCTTTTACTCTGGCTACTCTTGCAACTTTGGGAGTTGTTTAAACTGATTTGCTTCTCTTCAAAAAGTCTTATTTGACTTTGAGAATGCATTAGATGCATTTAATTACAGGCAAGAAGTCTCTGACTATTTTGTCAGTGATGGCTCTCTGCTCAATATCATTTATAGATGAATATCTTTTTGATACTTAAATTTATTGAAGTGTTTTTATTTCTAAGAAATTTCTTTAAAGACTACTAAAAAGAAGTATTTTTTAGTAGTCTTGTATACTTCACATTTTATCAATAATGAAATTCAAGGTTGAAGTCACTGGAGTTGGAAGAATTTTACTGCATAAACATCTGACAATAGCAACTCCAATTCCAGAACATTGGATGTGAGGAGTATCCAAAGGCATCCCATCTATCCACCAGTTTTGTTATCTTTTCCTAGAGTCCAGGTATTGAATTCCAATAGACTTCAAGGAACAGAGCATCTTGGTAGCCAAGGAGAGTGAGAACTTAAGACCAATCCCTAGCCAGAAGCATAGAGGCCAGCAATAGCAGTAGTGAGCCTTTAAAATGCCACAATTGTCACCTCTTACTTTTGCAGTCTTTGACTTCAAAAGTAAGAGCTTTTACTTTGCAGTCTTGGAGGATGAATCATGATCTATAGTGATCTTGGAAGTAGTTGGCAAGAATAGCCTCACTAGCACCCTGCTGACTCTAATTTCATTCCTGAAGAAGTGGAAGATAGAGAATCAGCTTATATCATCTGAACTAGTTGGGGGAACTCCAAAAACTCTTTTATTTGCAACACAAAATCTGTA